AACTCATGTCATAGATTGGGAGTGCAATTCCCCCGTGTGCCTCCTGGGAGAAGAGCCAGCCTGGGTAGCCTTGGGCAAGCTGCTCAGTCCCGGGGTTTTCCAGGCAGAGGATACTCAGAAGCGGTTGACCATTTCTTTCTCCTGGTGGGGGGTATCCCTGGGACTGTGCAGCTTGCCCAAGGCTACCCAGGCTGGCTCTTTCTCCCAGGAGGCACCGTGGTGGAATCGAACTCAGAACCTCTGAGTTCGTAGCCAGAGACCTAAACCACTGAGCTATCCAGCCAGCTCTTAAGAAGATACTCTTTGGTTTCTGTTTTGATCTGACTAGTGGGCTTTCCCGGAAGAGGCCTTTGATTAGCCGGTGTGTGAAGACCACGTTCCATGATCTGATCTCTCTGCAATTTTTCTTGCATTGACTCCTCCTTCTCTTAGGCCGCCTGAGGACCCCCTCAGGGAGCCAAACCCGACGGCCGAGGGGACCTCTTCTGCCTTGACGTCCAAGGGGAGTCGAGAGCCGGGCCTTAACAACGTGCACCCGAAACTGGCCAACCAAGACATCGCTTCCGGGGTCGCCCCCAACAGCTTCCTGTACGGCCTGTCAGTGCCCACGCAGATCGCCATGGAGATCAAGCAAGAGGGTCATATCGGCCGGCATGGGATGAGCGTGGTCGGCGAGATGCTGCGGTCCCGGCCATCAGGAGAAGCGAAGGTGCCTTCGCCACAGGAGTTTGGTGACTGCTGTGGTAATGGGCCTTCATGTTTCCTGTCCAAGGAGTGGCTGTTGAAAGCCGGCGGAAAGGCCCCCAACTCAGTGCGCCTCGGAAGCTCCCATTGGGTGGGAACAGGAAGTGTGTCGATTCAGAGCCATTAACCTCACAAAAGACCTACTCCTTTTGGCCGGTGGTTTTGCAAACTGAACCAGTTGCATTGCTCGTTAGTTTGCAGCCACTTTATTGTACTCATTTTCTTGTTTGCAAAAACAGTGGGTTGCCGTTGGGTGTTACAGACATGTTATTGACACGTTGTAGAAAAATGTGGTTCTCCCTAGTCTTGGAAAGACAGAAACAAGAGACAGAACCATGTTTCCCTTGCCAGGTCATGTTGATAAGCGAATGATACAAAACCTGAATATTCCTCTCAAAAGGCCTTAAAAGGAACTAGAAAATGTTACTTGTTATACTGAAAGTAACTCCTTCTAAAATTGCTACTTGCTCAGAACTAGTTACTTATGTTAGACGACCCTGCTAAACGACGAATCCGCATAACAATGACTTTTTGCGATTGCTATAGCGATTCACAAAACAGTCATTCCAATGGGCGATTTTCGCTTGACGATGATTTGGTCCGTGCTTCGCGGACCGTTTATTCGCAAGATGACAATTTCTACAGCTGATTGGCGGCTTCACAAAATGGCTGCCCTATGTTTTCAGGACCTATGCTTTGCAGGGCAGCCATTTTAACAGCTGATTGGCACTTCGCAAAATGGCTGCCCTATGGGCGATCTTCACAAAACGACAAAGTATTTTCCCCATTGGAACGCATTAAATGGGTTTCAATGCATTCCAATGGGGAAATGGTTTTCGCATGATGACGATTTCACTAAACAGCGATTTCTATGGGATGGATTATCATCGTCATGCGGGGCACCACTGTAGTTACTTCCAAGCAATGGCAACGGATGGCTTTGATACGGTGACGTGGCTGTCACATGGCTGCCACCCCGAGTGTCCACACTTTGAATTAAAAAAAGGCATAGGAGCCAAAATATTTGAGAGCAGATTGGCATTGAGGGGGCAATTAAGAGCCATTAACTTTACAAAAGTCCTCTCTTGTTTGGTATGGACCAATCCCGTGTATTTGGTTCCTCCTTATAGGGGAGAGGGTGGAGCTGACCAGGGAGCCAATCAGAATGAGTGCTTGTCTTATCAAATACCACACCACTGTTCATTTTTTTCCTCTCTCCCTTCTCTCTACCCAAATCTAATTTTCCTTTGCTTTTGTTCTTCCTTATGTCTAGGACAGAAACCCACCATCCCGGGCGGTCCGCTCATCCAGAATGTCCATTCCTCCAAGCGAATCCTTTTTTCTATCGTCCATGACAAATCAGGTATTATTCGGCCTTGGTCCGTCCTTAATAGGTGTCTGAAAGTTTAAATCAGAGATTGTGAGAGGCTGGCTGAAGAAATACAGCACGAAAGGGGAATTGGAAAGAAGTCCCAGTTGATAATTCTGGAAAGCAGTGAGAAACTGGAACATGTTGCAGAATTTTGAATTTCTGGTTCAGTTCCTTTACCCGCGCAGCATGAGTGCAGGGATTCAAAGAGAAGAATAGCTTCAAATTCACCAATTGTCTTTCATTAACTGGCACTTACAGTCTCAATAACTCACTCTGAGATGTTAGTAAGAGAAAAAAAATTGAAAGATGTCATTTACTTACAGTTGGACAGATTAAACAGCAAACTGACAAACATGGCTGACTGACTTTCAGCAACAGGCTTGTCTCTCATTAACTGGCACTTACAGTCTCAATAACCCACTCTGAGATGTTAGTAAGGGAAAAAAAATTAAAAGATTTCGTTTACTTACGGTTGAACAGATTAATCCGCAAACATGACAAACATGTCTGACTGTTTTTCGGCAACAGTCCTCGACAGTCTCGCTGCTTTCAACAGACTAAAAGAAGGGGCAAGAGAAGCAAAGCAGAGAGGTGGGGCTTTCTTTGAATTCAGAGGCAGGGAAGAAAGGATTGGTTAGTGCTGGACCGTCACTCCAGCCTAGGAAGATCCCTCCCGGCCAGAACGACTAAAGGCCGCATGCGAGGTTGCAAACATCTCCAACGGAACAATGACTTTTTATCCTAACTGCTACGAGAGTTCTCCAGTTCCAGGCGGGGGATTCTGGGAGTGAAACGACTAAAAAAAGAAGAGTGTTCCCCCCCCCCAAAAAAAACCTCTGGCTCAAATCTCTTGCGGCTGAAGCAGCTAAAGTTCCCTGGGCTTTCCTTCAAACCTCAGGATTTGGGAGAGAGAGTTTTCCTCCTAATTACAGCTATCCGAACCTCCTGATTGGCCTGGGACTTCCCCTGGCATGGGATTCTGGGAAATGTAGTGCAGAAACCTTCCTTTGCTGAGTTCGGTTCCCTTGACCAGGGCACCGAGAGGAGGGGAATCAAAACTTTCTTCCCAGTGTGGGGCGAAAAGGGTGTGTGTGATCTGTGGTATCGCGTGCTGTGCGAGAACCTCTTTTTTTTGTTTTGTTTTCCTAGATAAATGGGACAGCTTTATAAAAGAGACGGAGGACATCAACACTCTGAGAGAATGTGTGCAAATTCTGTTTAACAGCAGATATGGTGAGTAGGCGAGAAGCGGCTGCTTGATCATCTGTGTGGCTTATGGCGCAGTCTTGGGAGGGGCGGCAATGCCTTTAGAGGTTAGGGCGTTTTGCTTTTTAAAAATATTTTTCTTCCCCCACGACGCGGTCGGTGGCATATGCTACGTGTCCCCTCTTCTTAAATGCTTCCCTGGCACGGCTTCGTTGGTGGCGGCAGCTTCTAATTAATTAATCCCCCTCCCCTTTACCGCTGCGCCACTGGCTACCCGTCTGTTTTCTGGGCACAATTCAAAGCGCTGATTTGACTTGTTTCCATTTCTTTTTAATATTCCCATATGTATTGTTTTAGCTTTTCGGTGTGGTCTTTTTCAGGACGTGAGCATCCTTGGGTCCCTTTTTGGGGAGAAAGGTGGGGTAGCCATATTTTGAATGAATGAATGAATGAATGAATGAATGAGTGAATGAATGAATGAATGAATGAATGAATGAATGTGCGGCCCAGGACCCCGGCTTCTTCGGTGGGAGACTATTTCAGGCGGTCTGAAGAGATGGGACGGCAGCCGAAGGGGAAAGCGACCACCAGTGGGAAGGATCAGGAGACTTTCCACTTTGCAAATGTGGTGTGGCCTACAAGTCACATCATCCCCAGCCAAAATATGGAAAATTAATTTTCCAATGCAATAGGTCTCCATTATTGCTTAATGACCCATAAGAGTACATCCCCCCTGGTCTCTTTTCAGCTGAAGCCCTGGGCCTGGATCATATGGTCCCCGTCCCGTATCGGAAGATTGCTTGCGATCCGGACGCCGTTGAAATCATTGGCATCCCGGACAAAATCCCCTTCAAGCGGCCGTGCACGTACGGAGTGCCCAAGCTGAAACGGATTTTGGAAGAGAGACACAACATCCATTTTGTCATCAAAAGGTACCTTCTGGATGCAGAAGCCTGAAAGGGAGGAGACGGGGGGGGGGAAGGCGCTGAGCGATCCTTCTGTCCTTTCCAACTTTCCTCTTAGAAGGAAAGAGAGAAAAAAAAATAAAGAAAACCAGGTCATGGAGAAAGACTCCTGCAGACCTATAAATGCCTGCAGCTTTGTGGATTCCTCCCTGTGCAAGTTCTAGAAAAGACCAGCAGTAATTGTGAACAGGAGGCTCCATTGACATTTTTATAAAACCTTTTCCTCACCTCCGTGTCTTGCATTTCAGTGTGTGCTGTTTCATGATGAGCCACCGAAATAGGTTGAATAGGCAGGTTGTAACATGGAGGCACTTATCTTGAGGAGATCCAGGTGTGGAAGGGGGAATATGCTATCACATTAATATTTCGCGCGTCCCTGAGACAGGCAAAAACTCCACTCCGCTTCTCCCACAATCTGCTGTTACTTTTAAGGCAACTTCCAAAGTTCTGACCTTGTTGTGCTTCTGGGCAAAGTTGGGCTCCGAAGGCTAGTAAGTGTGCAAAGATGTGCTGAACCTGACATGATGATGTTTTCAGTTTTCAAAAGCTGGAACTGCATCAGTTGAGGTTCTTTTCTGCCCCAGAAAAGAAACACAGGAGTAAACGGGACTCGGTTCAGAATGAACAGCAACGTTTCATTTGAAAATGGTTTTATTTAGCATATGTTTTCTTGGGCTGCCGTCGGCATCAAGTACATGAATATTATTTGGCTTTCCGTGCAGAAAATAATAGAGGGTTACAATATTTGCATTCTGAAGTGAGCGTGCATTTGGCTGAGATCCCGTGCTTTAGTGTATCAAGTCACGCTAGAGCAGGCCCACTGAATCCATCGGGATTTGGTGAGTCAGCTCCTCTGTAGGTTGCATTGAGTCAAATGGGCCTACTCTAGCTGCAGCTTACTAGAGAGTAGGCACAGAAGACAGAGACTCGGAGGGGCAGCCAAGAAGGAATTAGAGAAGATCGTCAAGCGTAAGGATGTGTCACTGGAGACGAAGGCCAAGGTCGTACACTCTTGTCTTTCCGATCGACATGTATGGGTGTGAAAGCTGGACACTGAAGAAGGCAGATGGGGGGGGAGAGAATTAATTCATTTGAAATGTGGTGCTAGAGGAGAGCTTTTTGTGGGTGGATTGACAGAAAGACGAACACGTGGGTCCTAGATCAAGCCTGAACGATCTTTGGAGGCAAAAAACGATGAAGCTGAGGCTGTTCTACTTTGGGCCCCATCATGAGAAGGCAGGATTCCCTGGAAAAGACAATAAAGCTGGGAAAGGTGGAAAGCAGCAGGGAAAGAGGAAGACTGAATATGAGATGGGCTGACTCCTAAAGGAAGCCACAAGCTTGAGTTAGCGAGAGCTGAGCTGGGCAGGTGAGGACAGGAGATTTTGGCAGTCGCTCATTCATAGAGTCGCCATGTGTCAGAGGTGACTGGATAGCACCTAACAACAAAGTCCATTTGGCGTGGAATTTAGGAATTGACTCACATCAATCCCCACTGATTCAGAGGGCCTACTCTAGTGTTAGGACCACACTAAGCAACAAGATTTCAGCCATACACTTCAGGAATGGGTAAAAAAGTAGCTGCGAGGACACTTTTGGTTGTTACGACCGGTGTGGCAGTGCACAATCTGGACTAGCGCCTTGTGGAGCTGAATGAAGGCTAATCTACAGTAGATACTCATCTTCACCCCGATATTTTTCCCTAATAGTTAATATTATCCACTGGCCTTCGGTTCTAATGAGTTGTTTTCAATCGATCTTACGTTTGGCTGATTTTAGCTATTTCCTTTGGTCGTAAAGCTACCGTGCGCTTGTTGTATGTGTGTGAGGGTTTTTTTTTTTCGTATAAAAATGCTCTAAAATAAATAAATACTGCTTTCTCTTTCATGGCAGGATGTTCGACGAAAGGATTTTCACAGGTACGTCCGACGTCGTGTAGAATCCTAGGAAACACGGGGGAAAAAAGTGGTGTTTTTTTTCGTGGGAGCAAAAACTTCCAAATTCGCTGTGGCAAAAAAAATAGGAAAGCAGATGGACTGAAGAGCTGTCGTAACTCATCTTAATTCCAAAAGTAGAGTTTGGCATTCGTGCACGAACTCGTTTGGTGTGTAAGAACGAAGCGGTTTTGATGGCATTCGCTTTTGGAGCAAATCTGTTTTTCCACTGCCGTTTTTGCAGCTGAATGGGGCAATCAGCCCCCCATTTATGTGCAATGTCATAAGCGAAGGTCTTTTCTTTCAACAGAAAGTTATGTTCAAACTTTTTTTCCCCCCACGTAGCTTTAGGGTAATTTTTCCTCTTTGTACCGTGTTTCCCCAAAAATAAGACAGGGTCTTAGATTATCTTTTTTGCTCTAGAAAACACATTAGGGCTTATTTTCAGGGGAAATTTTATTTTTTTCATGTCCAACCATCTACGTTGATTCAAAGACAGTCCTGTCATCTTCTTCTGGTTGATGCACAAGGGTGGAGGGCAGGGTTTTCACTTAAATAAGGCTTATTTTTGGGGTAGGGCTTCTATGACGAGCATCCTGAAAAATCACACTAGGGTTTATTTTCAGATTAGGTCTTATTTTTGGGGAAACAGGGTAGTTAATTGTCTTATAAATGGCATCTATAGATACCCCAGTGAAATAAGGGACAGTGTATGATACGGGGGGTTGAGCAAAGTGTGTTCAGGCGTCTTCTTGCCCCCTGGGGACCCAAATTCAGAGGCCACAGAACACCTAGCGCTCATCGGATTTTCAATACTCCTCCAAATTAAAATTAAAAAATAGGCAGAAATTTTCCTTCTGGACTCAAGGAGGCACGGAAGAAATTTTGCCATATTTTCCCCAGCATCCGAGTCCCCTGCTCGTGTGCCCCAAATGTGTTTTGCGATTCCCCACTAAATGTGGTTACCAGAAGGTGTAAGGGCATTTCCCCCCCCGAATAATAATAACAATGTACCATCAAGTCAGGGACGTGATGGCGCTGCGGGCTAAACCACAGAAGCCTGTGCTGCAGGGTCAGAAGACCAAGCAGTCGTAAGATCGAATCCACGCAATGGAGTGAGCGATTGTCTTCGGACAAAACGCTGGCTCTATGGCTTGGAAACGGGGATGAGCACCGCCCCCTAGAGTCGAACACGACTGGACAAAAATTGTCAAGGGGAACCTTTACCTTTACCTTTACCATCAAGTCAATTCTGACTTATAGTGACCCCTTTTTGGGTTTTTCTGGGTAGAGAGGACTCAGAAGTGTTTTGCTCATCCCTTCTGATGCAGCTGGCCCAAGGCCACCCAGGCTGGCTCTTCTGGGAGGCCCAGGGGGGGAATCGAACTCCCAACCTCGGGCTCCTCAGCCAGGCAACTAAACCGCCGAACTCTCCAGCCAGCTCAGAAGTGCTTTCCCCGTGGCCATTTTCTGAGACTGCGCAGCTTGCCCAAGGCTACCCAGGCTGGCTCTTCTGGGAGGCCCAGGGGGGGAATCGAACTCCCAACCATCCATAGCCAGAGGCCTAAACCACTGAATTATCCCGCCAGCCTTTTTTAAAAAAAGAAAAATAGTTTCATTTTAGTCAGAGGGGTTGTTGCCTCTCAACATCCAGGGTGGGGCATCTATGGCCCTCTGAAGGCTGCTCACCTTTTGCTCAGGTAACGAGGGGTCCCTAAATAAACAAAGAAATAAACGACCGATTAAAATAGCGCCCATTCCAGGGCAGTGCTTCTGGGCCTGCTCAACGCAGCTGGTCTTCTCTGGTTACGAGATGGGAAGAAGTTCCTTTTTGAGTGCTGAAGTTCCCAGTATCTTCCCGATAGCATGGGCTTGATTTTACTGACTGGGGGGGGATTCTGGGTAGCAGAGTTCAAAAACCCTCTTTTCCTGAGCTCTGTTCTAGGGTTAACTGAAGCCTCATCTGTCGATAATAAGAGACTAGGCGATAGAAGGTTTTGTCTTGGATAATCTGAGGTTCTCCATCAAGGGTGCGGAAAACCTTTTCCATTGGGGCCCATGGCAGGCCCGAGGGGACCCCAAAAAGTTGGAATTCAGGTGGACGGAAGTATATCCAAGTTGAGTTTATGAGATCCCCCAATGTTCCCTCTTCAGCCCCTGTTTTGTGTTTGCCACTCGAAAAACGTCTTTTCCTTTCCTTTCTCCTCCTCCCTGTCACCCGATCTTCGCCACCCAGGAAGTAAATTCACCAAAGACACCCCCAAGGTTGAGCCCTCCAGCCCGTCCGGGGAAATTTCTCCCGAACCGCACCAAATGGCCTTCCTGGATCTGGCTGGGACTTCGCAATCAGATCATCGGTAAATCTCCTTTCCTGTTGGATGTGTTGTTGTTACTTTGCATTTCCATAGCGCCTTTTATCCTCTTTATTTCTGGAAATGATCTTCTTGACTGGCTGAGTCACAAAGTAAAGAGAGGTTCAGGGGCATAAATATTAACAGGCGACCCATTTTTGGGAAAGAGAGGATCCTACCCTTGAAAGATTGAACAACAGCAGGTAATTTTTAAAAAGAGCTCAGAGGACAGCAAGTTCGCTGAACACAGACTGGATTTTGATTGACTGTGCCTAAGATTTTTGAATCATCATCATCCTAGACCGGCCTTTATGATCTCTTTAATGATAGCACCTGTTGTTTTAGTGAAGGCCAATGAGTCCCCCTTTCACAGAGGTGGGGATCTGTTCTGAGTTTCAGTCTGACCAATTATAGGAGCTAACCATGGTGCTGAACCGATATGTTGGGGCAGAATTCGGTGCCCCAGAACGATTCCTGTAAAGTTCAGGCTAAAAACCCAGAGTGGATTTGTTGTTTTCCCTGGCGAAACCGAAGGCACCGACCTCAACCGGATTGTGGCTGGGGATGATGGAGTTTGTAGTCCAGTGGCACCTGCAGGTGGGAAAGCCTCATGTAGAGCTACTCAGTGCTGTGCTTTTGGGTTTCCACCATGTCCTGTTTATTGGGCTTGTCCTTTGTTGGAAACCAAGAGTTAGACAAAACAGACTGTCCATCTGACTCACTATGTCAGTCTTTGTTTTCTGGACTTGGTGAGCCATCTTTATTTACATTTCCCTTAAGCCATGAACTTGGCACACAGCTTCTAGAGATGCACACATTTTCCATTTGTAAAATGGGAATAAAGTAGCACCCCTATATCTGCAGGAGATTGGTTCCGTTCCCCCCCCCATTATATAATCACATGGTAAAAGAATAAAAAATCCAGAAAAAAGCATTTTCATGTCGCCTTACCATAACAGCCCACTAGAGGGAGCGAGAACCATGCTACGTAGTCTTCCAGCAACAAGAATACATAGCATGGTCTCTGGCTTCCTCTAGTGGCCAGTTATGGTAGATACATCATGAAAATATGTATTTCTAGTATTCTTTTTTTTAAAAAATTATATTTTTGGACTGTGGAGAAGTGAAACTGTGGATACTGATCCCACACATACGGGGCCCCCGAGAGTAAATTGTGCCTATCAAATTCTGGGGACAAACAAATACAATATTCTGCCACTTTGCAAATTAAAAAAAAAATCTCAAGTATTTTTTATTCTTCTATTAAGATACCTCCTTTGTGACTTCGCTATCTCTTTGGAATGCACAGCAGCCAATAATTGTATACAAAGCAGTTTTGAAATAAACAAAATCGATAATGCTTTATTCTCCCAGGTCTGAAAAAAACTCTGCCTCTGGAGACTGTGAACCAGGTAAATCACATACCCTTACTTCTCTCTTTTAGAAAGAATTAATAGTGTTATATTAAGAATGCTGGCTAAAACAGATTTAGAAGCAACAAAATACATACCATCCCATTTTTAAAACCTCTCCTCTCCACTCAGCCACTGAGGGAAGGCTTGCCTGTAGAGAAAGGTCATTGCCTGCTCGCGGGAGGCTAGCAAAGATGGGGCCCAGCTGGCCTCCAGTGGCAGGGAGTTCCACAGTCCGATTCGTTTCTGATTTCTGCTCCTCTTTTCCTTCACAGGAACCTCCGGAGAGCTGGGAGGGATTAAACGCATCAAAATAGAACCCGATGAAGTGGACATCATCCAGATCACAGTCCCAGGTAGAAATGCCCATAAGCCCATGAAGCAAACTCTTGGTTCCAAAGGCACCATCTTGACCGCTCCTGAACCCTCCTCCTGGGCAGTTTCTCCTGCCCTGCAAAACCAGAGAACATCTGTTCTTGTAGGGTTTCATGGTCGGGCATTAACTGAGGGAACAGGACGGTTGGACCCTCTTGCTTTTTTCTGCCCTGAACAGATAGATCGCCAGGTCCCGGTGAAGCCCATGACGTGTCGGCCCATCGTGGGACGCCAGATGATTCCAGTTACACATGCGACAAGCTAACAGGTGATCTGGGGCTCGATGGTGGTCCGGTCTTCCCATACTGTGTTTCTGCTCAGCTGTTGAAACCTGACTTCGACAGCCAGTAGAGTTGGGCACGAATTGACGGTTCGTGCCGGTTTGTTTATCAGCCGAACAGGCGTTTGGCTTCGACAGCCAGTAGAGTTGGGCACGAATCGGTGGTTCGTGCCGGTTCGTTTATCAGCCGAACAGGCGTTTGGCGCGGCAAAGCCCCGCCTCCTCTGGTGGGCACCCACTCAGAGGTGGCTCCCAGAGGAGGCAGGGCAGGGACGAAAGCTCCGATAAAAAAGCTTTCTGTTTGTGTGTTTTAAGCTCCTTGGGGGAGGTTCAAGCTAATGGTAAGACTTCTCTCTGGTTTTCAGACAAAGGGCCCGGCAATGATTTGCAACATGGTGAAAAGCAGATGGAGAGTAAAGGTAAGTTTATTTCACTTCCAATTAATTTTGCCCCACCTCTGCCGTCCCTTAAGATTCAGACCGCCAGTCTGGTGTAGTGGATAGAGTGACGGACTAGGACTCTGGAGAACAGGGTTCAAATCCCCGCTCATGGAAATTCCCTTGGGGACTTGAACTGGTAAAAGTGCTCCTTATACAGTGGTGCCTCGCTTAACGAGCGCACCGTTTAATGACAAATCCGCATAGCGACCCGTTTTTTGGGGTTGCTAATGCGATTGCATTGCGATGTTTAGATAGGCTAAACATCGCATTGCGATCATTTCTGCACCCGGCGGCCATTTTGGGAACAGCTGATCGGCGGTTC